GTAAATAAATAAATATATTGTTTGCAATAAGTGTAATGCACTTTAACAGTTTACTGACTAGTATAAGGTATAACTGCTTAATAATAGGTACAACTCAGTGACAGAACAGCTTTGATCAAAGTGAGGCCTCCAACAAATGAGGCTTTTTTCTTTGGATTGTTTTAGAAATGAATTTTCAATATTCACCCCTACAGAAAAGGGCATGTACCTTCTGCTCCAAACATATCAGAAACATAATTAAGATTTGCTTTCCTGTATCTCTCAAAAGTTATTCCTTTAAAAGGAAGAGTTCCTAACATTCTTTGTGAACACTGAGTACATTGGCACTGCTTTAAAGCTATACCTGTGTCTAAGCTTTTAGCTCTTTTAGTAAGATGTTTATCTGTACTGGTACAGCTAAAGATTCTGAAGTGGCAAAATGGGACAAAAGAGGAAAGAAACAGGTGATAAAGTACACGAAAAGTTGTAATGTTGCATGAAATAAGATCACAGTACAGTAAATGCCATCAACTGTTATGCAAGAAAAATAACTTTATATTTTAAAAGTCTTTAGAGTAGGGGAAAAGATAAAAAAATCCCCACACTCTTACTTCAGCAACCGAAATTGTTACCTCTTAAGTTCTAGTGTAAATCTTCCTTACTACACTTTCTTACAGCTAAGCATTTGGCTTCCTCGTGCTCTCTTCCCAGACTCAACTTTGTCTGAGAGGCAGAGCAGAAAGAAAAGTTAGAATTCAACCAAAACTCTTTCAAGTTTTGAATCACTTTGTGTTTTTCTGAGAAATGTGGAATCTACAATGTTTTTTCTCAAAATAATTCTAAGTGGCTTCAGAAAATCATCTAACCATGCGCTGCTTTACCATCTACCTTGATGTTATTCAAAACTCAGTATCTCCTACAAAAATTAACTCATTATCCCTGACCTAGTTTAAAATGAGTTCTGTCACCATTTCATTGCTCAGAAAGACTGACATTAACAGTACTCACACCTGGAGAACTCACAGCTTAATGCCAGGACACCAAGCAACCACACAAGGTTGTTATTCAGGTGTCTTGCTTTAGATAGCTCCTGACCAAGTGGAAGCTGTGCATGAGGATAAAGATGGGATTTTATTGGCAGGTTGTGGGTCAGACACAGGACAGCTGCCCTGCAAACACTTTTTGTGTGTGTTCTATGTGATGGGGTAGACGATTTTAGCTCCTGCACCCCAAAGAAGAGAACTCAATGCTTCAGTCTGGTTATGTGTTGTATACAACACACAACACTTGAAACTGTATCCCACCAGTAGCTCTCAAACGTATTCTTGGAGAAAGGAAGAGCCAGATAAGATTCCCACTTCTACTAAGTTGTTATGGAGTTTTCTGGGCATACAGGCTGCCTTAAGATGGAACAACTCCTAAGAACTTAATTAGAGCCCAAAATCTTCTGTATAGCAAATCATCTGCTCACAGAGATCCCATTTTCATTCCTCTCGAACATACTTCACACAAATAAGAGGTCAAAACACAACAAGTGATATAGAATTTGTTTGCAAACCAAAATTATCCATGCAGAAATTAAAAAACCCAACCAAAGCACAAGGCAGAATGACTAAGAAGTGTTACCTGTCACCACAGGTACTCACACTCACCTTGGCAACCCCAACCCCAGTGAACCTGGCCTCCAGGAGCTCCTGCCTGCGTGGGTCCAGGCTATGCAATTCTTCCATCATTTCTGCTGCTATGGAAGAATAACACTCAGATTATGCAAAGCAAGGAAAGGAGAGAGATGTTTAATATTCCGTGCCACTGACGAGACTTAAAAGTGCTTGTTCTGCAGCACAACCGCGTAGAGAGCATTTTCTTGCAAGAGAAATGTGAGATTACCATGTAGTAACACCATGACTTTGCCACCATATTATAGTATTTAAGCCATAACCCTGCTGGAATTTCCTCTCGTCTCCTCTGTTGTACCAGCCATTTCAAGATCTCTAAATCCAAGAAACCAATTATGTCACATTCTCCCACTGGATGCTTTATTAAAAGGAAAACATGGGACCAGAGTGTTATGACTAAAAGCTTCAGAGCTTTTCATCTGTGCTGCATGACTAGGAGAAAAAAAAGCAACATTCTTTACCCCATAATTTATTTTTGGCCAATCCTGGAAATACTCGATCTCCACAAACTCCAGATTTCACTGATAACAGCTTTGCTTCTTCCAAGCAGAGTGGGATTACAAGAAGAAAATAATGCACAATTAAACCTTTTCATTTATAAGGTAAAGTATCAGATATTCAAAAATAACAGCAGCTTCTACATCCTGGATGTACCTGGGGTATCTCTTGGCAATCTAACACTACGAATGCCTTATTTGAAGGGTTAAAAATCTAGCCAGCATAACTGTGTAAACAGGTTAAAAATCAGGAAATACATAATTCAAATACTGAACTGAGAAAAAAATGGGACAAAATTCACTGTTCATTATAACTCTGAATCACATCTTCCCAACTGCACCAATCAAGTTCATTTCCAGAAATGTCTGTTCTAGTTTCATTTTCTGGACTAAGGTAGGAAAAAAAAGGCCAAAAACAGAAGATAAAGATTTGCTGTGTAAAGAGCATATGTGATGAGGAAAGTTCTTGAAGGGCAGCAAGTGCCCTCTAGAACAGGCAATGCACAATTGTTCTTTTTATGAACTGTCCATTTTGTCCCTGCCGCTTCCTCCAAATGCTGCGGCTACAAGTCACAGGGGCAAAGTGAATCCATCCGGGGGCATTCTCAACTGCTCTCCCCAATCAGTCCCAAGCCTCAAAAACTAATAGGACCCTAAACATGATTATTAAACAACCGTATTTCAGCCACGGGCTCAAAAAGCCCAACAAAGCTCTCAGCCCAATTTTCAAAACAGGAAATCTAAGCAGCGAAGAAAATGAAAGACAAGCCGCAAACACCAAGATGTTCAAGTGCTCCCAGGGCTCTCGCCCATCAAGGGGCCACCATCCGCAGGGAATCGCATCCCCACACCAGGATGCGGCTCTGGGGAAGGGGGCTGACACACGTTCCTCCCGCCGGGGGGCTGCCCCGGGACCCGCTGCACCCCTCCAGGCAGGGCTGGCATTCCCTTCTGTCCTCCCGGGAGGGGATTTCCAGCACCCCTCTCCCACCCACTCGGGACGCAGAGGCATCAGCCGCCGAGCGAGCAGCCTTGCCCCGCTGCCAGCTGCTGCACCGCCTCGGCCTCTTCCTCCTCCTCCCCTCCAGCACCGGCTCAACCCTCAGCCCGAGGCTCCGCAGGCCATACCCACCCTCCGCCGCCCCCCCCCCCCCCCCCCCCCCCCCCCCCCCCCCCCCCCCCCCCCCCCCCCCCCCG